TCATTGTTTAATAAAATAAAATTAAATAAAATTAAATTAAATTAAATTAAATTAAATTAAATTAAATTAAATTAAAGTATATCCAGATGTATGGCACCTCCCAGATTGTAATTGTGATTGGATGAGAATTATAAATATACAATTTCGACACCCTATTATTTTGTACGTGATTCATAACACACGACATAAATCAACAAATTCTACATTAACATTTTATTTTATAGTCATTGTTGCTTTTAGAAAAATGATTTTTGCGGAGGTGGGGCAGGGGGGTAGTGGGCCGCAAGGGGCCCACTACCACCTTGCCCCTTACATTACTTTTATACTTTAAGTAGTTTCAAAAGCAGTACTTTTACACTATTACTTGAGTAAAAACTTGAGTTGACACTCTACTTCTACTTAAGTAATGAAAGTAACTACTTTTGACACCTCTGTTTACAACGAGTTAACGCTATTACAGCTGGGAATGTAGTTTGATTATATGTTACAACGGCCTGCCTCAAAAACCGTGACGTCGCTCTGTTCGGTCCAATCAACTGAAACTTTCCTAACACAGACTTGTAAGATGGCGACCGCCGAACCGGTGAGTACTCTCTGGGAAGAACATTTCAAAACATATGGACGAGTTTCTCGTTTCATTTACGGGGCGAAACGTCATTTAAAGTTTATATCCGGCTTTGAACGCGACTCCCCTGTTTGTAAGCGGTGGTTGTTCGGATTAAAAACGAGGTTTTAGAGAAGTTAAACGTCTTCTTCGTGCCACGACCCCACAGGCGTAAAAAAGAGGAATGTGAAGATGTCTAAACTTTCAACTAACCGACGCGCTGTTCTCTCCAACAGCGCTTGAGCCTTTTAAAATGAGCAACTTCAGCTTCAATGATGTAGTGGAGGACCTTACTGTGGGAGTGGGTTTTTTCGTGAAGCTTTATTTATTAAAAACTGTCATTATATGTGGTTTAAATTACTTGTTTTAACTTAATTAAGTAGTTTCAGACAGAGCTGGGACCGTTAAAACTGGTCAGTACAGGTCTGTGCAGACCTCTACCATATTTTTCCATCATAAAAAATGTAGATGCTTTTTATATTTAAAACTGGCTCCAAAATAGTATTTGTGTAACTGTATAAATGTTTGCCATTAAAGTTGAATTATTTGCAAACATCTCAGAAGTTAAGTTTAAAGTATTAAATCATATTATTTACACTGGATTTGAGCAAATTTTCAATTTGAATCATTTTTAGAATAAATTAAAATGCAACCATTAAAAGTGGGTTTGCACTCAATGTAAACAAGCTGTATTTTTACACACTTACTCAATAAATATGAACGTAAACAAACAAATTTGTGGTACTTTTTACATCCCAAACAGCTCTTTTATAAAATTTGCTTTTATTGACTAATTTTCAGTCACTTTGGCTGCTTCAGTAGTTAAAAATAACTCACGTTAGCAGTCTTTTTTTTTTWATGTTGACTGGTCTTTATTAGGGGTGTAAGAAAATATCGATACACTGAAATATCGCGATATTTTATTTCCCGATACTGTATCGATATTCTAAAGCCCTGTATCGATTTTTAATTAA